GACCCTGGAGGGGATGGACCGAAGACAGTGACCAAGCCATTTGTCTCGTGCCATCCCTCTCCAGCCTTCCACAAACTTTGGGCAGGGACACCACTCCTACCCCCTGGCTAATAGCACTCCATGGACCCAACCTCCATCACTTTATCTCACTTCTCTTTAAACTCTGTTCTAGTTCTAGCCTTCACAGCCTCCTGCAGCAAGGAGTTCCACAGGTTGACTCTTTGCTTTGTGAAGAACAACTTTCTGTTACTAGTTTGAAGCCTGCTACCCATTCCTTTCCTTTGGTGTCCTCTAGTCCTTCTTTATGGGAACTAATGAAGAACTTTTCTGTATGCACCCTCTCCCCCCAACTCCTGCTTTTAGAGACCTCTATCCTGTCCCCCCTCCGTCTCCTCTTTTCTAAGCTGAAGAGTCCCAGTCTCTTTAGCCTCTCTTCATATGTTCCTGTTCCTAACCCCTGATCATTTTAGTTGCCCTCCCCTCTCCTAGCCTCTCTCTTCCCCTCTCCCACCTCCTTTTCCCAGTCCCCCCCCAGTTTTGTTCAATAAAGACAGATTCCATTTTGGAAGACACGTTATCTTTATTTTGTACATCAAGAAGAGGGGCTAGGGAAGGGTAAGTGGAAGGAGGTGAGGGAGGAATGGGGCACGAGCCCCCGATGGGGAGGACTGGGCTGGCTCTGTGGGCTTCTGGGGGTGGAAGCTCTCCTGCAGCCCCCCAATTGCTCCCTCTCCCCAGATGGCAGCCTTCGGCAAGTGCAGCCGGTCTGATGGCCGAGTGCTGTCATGTGCCCAGTGTGGGTACTCCGGACAATCCAAGCCAGGACTGCTTTGCAAATGGGGCACCCCTGAGAACTGTCTGTCCGGGGTGGGGGTCGGGACCCTTTAAGCGCAGCCCTCGGCTAGCCTGAGACAGCATCTCCACGCTCTAAGTCCTCCTCTGATGCCCTGCCGGCACTGCTTCCGGCCATCCTTAAGCCCGGTTCAGGGTCCACTTAATGTGGACATGCTAGTTCGAATTAGCAAAACGCTAATTCGACCTAGTTTTTTAGTCTGGATCCGTTAGTTCAAATTAGCTTAGTTCGAATTAACTAATTCGAACTAACTTCGTTCGAATTAACGTTGTAGTGTAGACATACCCATTCTTACTAACTCTCAGAATGTTATTGTGAGTCTCATGATACTTGTTGTTTCTTTTAAAGCTCCAGCTTCAGGAGGCATATGATTAGGAGAGAATTTCTACTTTCCCCCTTTTAAAAAGTATGTTTCTAATACTCATGGTTGTAAAGAAATGCTTGAAAGCCTGATTTGAATGCATCCTGAAGGACTAGAAGCCAGAAGGGGGCAGAGGGAAGCTCTCAAAACTTATTACTTTAAGCCACTCTCATGATTTTGTAGACAACTCAATATTTTTGGAGGTCAGTGTAAAAATAATGAAAAAGTCTTTTATTAAAATGTCAGCACAATCAGTAGAGATTTTTTGAGGATTCAAACATCCCCTTCTTATTTGAAAAAAAACTAAAACAGAATCTTTCTTTTTGTACAAGAGAAAATAGAGTAAAAACAAACTATAAATTAGAAGTAAAATTGACCTGTGTAGCTTCCCTGCCCTAGCGAAATGCAAACAATGTATCAAACAGCCCCAAAGCAGCTTCAAATAAGTGTCTAAGGTGGTATTAATAAGGTGTGTAACTAAATTATTTTTAAATCAACATGACTTATCTTTTCAGGCTCTGTTTGAAGGCAAAGATATCCCCTAGGTATGTTCCCAGTCCTACATAGCCTCACAGCTTTGGCCCATTATAATTTCCCCCGAGTGTATATTTTTAGCTTCAGTGGACACCTTTAAGGAAGGGCAATTCATGTCCCTTTTTCACTCATTCTGTTTGCTCAAAGAAGGGGATGAGAAGGATGGAAGAACCTGTAATGCCTGGTGTCGCGGATAGCACGGTCACTGGGAATCCTCTCGCTCTCACGCTGGTTAAAGGCGTAGAGGCGGTACGGGTCCTCTCCACCCTTCCATTTCCGGGCACTGAGGTACCTTCTCTCTTCAAACTGATCCCAGAGGTCATCCCAGTCGACATCTGAGCCCTGCACACACAAGAAAACATTTAACCCCATCATACGGAGGCCTGCAAGGTACAGATTTCTCTGAGTGGAAAGCAGTGACACCCAGCAAGTGATTAGTACCACAAAGGGTGCGTGCTCTCACCCCCCTCTCACAATTAGTAGCTGAAATCAATGGACCTGCACCGATTTACATCAGCAGAGATGTACAGATGAAAACTACAGGACCACGGGGGACCCTTAGCATTGCCCTTTGACAGCCAGTTCCACAGGCGAACCTCAGCATCCTCCCATGGCCATGACGCGCTTGGTTAAATTATATGGTGTGGTTTAATGACTTCTCACAACTTTCTAATATTCAAGTGGCTAGAGCACAGGGCTGGATCTGCACTTCCTTTCAGATGGCTGGGGGCATCTCTTCTGAAACACTGCCTGCTCTGCTGCCACCTTATTCTGGACAGCAGGGTTCCCACAAAGCCAGGCATTAGGGAATGCATCATCTCCATCCTTTGCTCCGTACAGAGGAGCCACAAGCCACATCGCAGAGCCCCACATTACTCCACACAAGGGACAAAGTGTCCTTTCACTAAGCAGCACACAAGGGCTCTGTGCCGGTGCCGAGGTGGCGAGCGCAAGGTGCACTTGATAAGATCACATCATTATGGCAGCACAACCTCTTTGATCTCAGCCTACGTGTAATACAGAGTGAGTCAAACGTGTACAGTAATTTCAGCACCAAAGAAAATTGTGATCTTATCGAATAATTGATCTTTTTATTTTTTTTGTTACTCCATCTCACAGCCGCTCTCCCCTGCTAATGGCACAAAATGAAGCTTTTGAAACAGGCGATTTTTATCCCATAATTGATTTTATTCACATCTGACAGCACATTCTCCATGTTAATAGGAAGGGGGAAGGGGAAAGAGATGGCCCCTGCAAATGAACAGCCTGTATCTCAGACATCAGCTTAAAAAGGAGCTGGATCGAGAGTCCCCTGGATGCTGTAAAGTCTTTGGAGTGAAATTTGAGAGAACGCAGGCCACCTCCAAAGGTCTAATCAAACTCCCATTGAAGTCAGTGGATGACTCTCCATTGCTTTCAGGGCCAGCTGGGTCAGGACTGGGCCCAAGCAATGTGCTATTCAACACAGCAAATACTGCATGCAAGATGGCAAGCAACGTGCCATTTAAGACGGCAAAGAGCTTGCAGAGTGGAGTTCAGAAAAGGCCTGATGCTGCTTCACAGCCCAAATTGATTCTCACACACACACCAAGAGCGCAATAGTTGTAACCAACAGTGGCTTTGTTGCAGCTGACCTTGTCCTCTCAACCAAGCATTCCCAATAGCCAAAACGTGCCAATATTTCTTACTATTGCTCACTATTGTTGGGCCAGATTCTGATTACAGTTACATCAGAGTAAATCGGTGACACAGAATTCAGAGCCCAGGCTGTTGAATGTAAACTCTTCTGTGCAGGGACATCAAGGCTGATTATAACTTTACACTAGTGTAACACCATTGTGCTCCTTGGGGAATACTCTCTCTCTCATCCCCAGTGGCCAGATGAATCTTTCCTGTCACTCCAGTTGAGTCCACCTCCACCAGTGGCGTCATCCCAGAAAGAAATTTGGCCTTTGGGTTCCACCTGCTACTAAGCAGAGAAAATGTTTTTCCCTCTTGCTCCTACTGAGCCCATACAGAAAGCTGAATTCTAACCCAACCCTGATCGAAGCACATTATCAGCCTTGCTCTGATGACAGTAGCTTTATTACCTTGCTGCAAGAGGCAAGACGACCATGACTTTATTTTCATATCCTGAGGTGAGCATACAGTGGCTGAGAGCTATAAAAATCATCTGTTGACTTGCAGACGCAGCACATTCAGAGGGAATAAATATGGTGCACCACAATGTCATTTTTATAACTGCTTTTCTGCTTTTAGCCATTCTACCTGGGCTGTGCCTGGGCTGCCTCCAGGGACAATCGCTGAACAGGCCACCTTTTTGAACATCAGTCCAGCATCCCTGGGCACTAAGGGTGTGTCTACACTGCACCCAGAGCTCAAAATAAGCTACACAACTTGAGCTACTGAAATTGGGTAGCTTATTTCAAGTTAATTTCAAAATAGTTTATTTTGAAATTTGGCGCTGTCTACACAGCACTTATTTCAAAATAAATCGCTATTCTGAAACGTCCCTTACTCCTCATGAAAGAGGTTTGCAGGGACATCAGAATAGTGCACCCGTGATATTTTGAAATAACGGGCACGCTCAAAAGATGCGGAATAGCTATTTCGGGATACCCTGAAATAGCACTGCAGTGTAGACGTAGCCCAAGAGTGAAGGATAGTTATTAAAATGTTATGGCCATTCCGGTCCATCAGGAGGTTTATGAGCAGAAGGCTATCCATAAAAATGTGTATGCTCTTGGTAGGAGTGCAGTATATTGTGCAATAAATATAGTTTATGTTTAAGGCATCTTGTAAAGCATGATTTACCAGGCCAGTGAAAGATCAGGAGAAATGGAGCTGACTGTGTCTCAGAACCACCTGAAACCCTAAAATTTACAAGATTTGGAGAGGATCCTGAGCTTCCAGCTCTGCTGAAAAAACTGTCAGAGGTTAAGATACCAAGCTAAAGCTCTGTTTTTGATAATAAAAAAAGTTATAAAACTCAGCATGACTAGAAATGTTTCCATTTTAAAACAGCCATGAAACAATGTCATTTAAAAAAAATGTAAATTAAACGCTGTTAATTGAGCTTAGACAGGAGACAAGGAATAGAGGATAAACAGGAAGTGAAACTGACCAACCAAGTGAGAGAAGAGCAAAAATTACACTATCAGCAAAATATTACAAATTTCTTTCAGTTTTATATAGTAGAAGTAACAAAACTGAGCTGTCAATAGTGTGGGCTTAATTCTCCACTGCCCTACACCTTGTGCACTCATTTACACAAGTGGGTGCAAGGCAGGACAATGGAGAATCAGACCCTGCATGGAGAGATTATCAGCACAGCATCCTTTAAAACCTTGACATATCAACCTGTCCCTGTATAATATGGCTAAGCAGCTTGGCACTTTGATTTTTAATAATTATGCTGCAAGGGAATCTGGGTAGTGGGCAAGTCTTTGCCAGCTTGAGGCTTGCCAAGTTCACATGGCATAATGGACAGATGCAGTTCCAAAACAATACAATTAGCCAACTGCTGTGACGTCAACCATATGTTCCAAGCACCTCTGTTCGTACAAGGACACCAGCCGTTTACATATGGTGGTGAGCCGCAACACTAAACTCAAAAGATCTGAACAGCCCAGTCTATGATAAGGTGCAGTGGCCAAGTTTGCTCCAGCTAGGACTGTGTGCTCAGCAAACAAGACAAGCTGCTGCAGATGACTGAATAGCCCTTTTCCATTTGTAGATTCTGATCCTCAGATAGGGTATGTCTACACTACAGCACTAATTCGAACTAACTTAATTCAAATTAGTTAATTCGAACTAGTGCATCTAGACCTAAAAACTAGTTCGAATTAGCGTTTTGCTAATTCGAACTAGCATGTCCACATTGAGTGGACCCTGAACCGAGGTTAAGGATGGCCAGAAGCAGTGCCGGCAGGGCATCAGATTAGGACTTAGAGCGTGGAGCTGCTGTCTCAGGCTAGCTGAGGGCTGTGCTTAAAGGGACCCGACCCCCACCCCGGACAGACAGTTATCAGGGGTTCCCCGCTCGCTTGTCTAACTTGATGAGGGACAGCAAAGCAGTCCTGGCTTGGAGTGCCCTGAATGCCCACACTCGGCACATCACAGCACTTTGCCATCAGCCCGGCTGCACTTGCCGCAGGCTGCCATCCGGGTGGGGGGGGAGGTGTCAATCAGGGGACTGTCAGGATCCAGGAGGCCCTGCAGGAGAGCTTCCACC